CGGGATTCTAAAACTATGTGCCCTACTATTTAATAGCACTTTTATATTACAGACTCCTACAAATACTTTTATTTGTCTAGAGTTTCATTGCTTACGGAAGTCAAGTTGTCTAAATAAAACAGGAGCCAGTGAGTTCTATTTTCAATAAAGCTGGCTCTCTGTTGTTCTGTTATCTTACCTCTCCCCCCAAGGAGTTCCGAAAGATAACCACTAAGAACAATAAGATTCCTCCAAAAAGCAATTGAGATACATTAGGATGAATATACATATTGTTTATGTTTGCATTTATGAATATTTATATACATATGCACACAAAGGAACACACTCTCCTTTCTATGAATACATCCATGTTTTAACAGCAACAGAGCAAAAGAAGAAAAAAATAGACTTCTTGTTTAAAATATTTGGAAAGATTTTCCTCTTTTTATTGTCATAAGCATTTCCAAAGATGGGGAAAGCACAGACCATGTGACATTACTCCAACATATAAGAACAAAACATAAAAAGAAAGAGAATTTTCACAAAGAAGTTTAATTTGCTTTCTCTATCAAGCATTATTTCATATTACTTTATCACACAAGCTGGATGACAAGCTGTAATACTATAAATAACTTCAAAGTCTTTATACTGGTTTTCCCTTTCTGCAGAAACTCCACGGTACTACATATAGTAGGAATACTAGAAAAGCACACTGAAACAGAGAAGTCTCAATACTGTATGAGACCAGGTCCCACCAATGCAATCCTCATAAAAACAAGCAGAGAAGAGGTAATTTTCCTTCTCTCATTTCCTCAAGTTTTGATTTTAACAGACATACCAGCCATATCCAAGCTTTTTTTTGTTTAAATGATATCATGACCCATCTTGTTTACCCTAGTAAGTTAGTAAATCCAATTCTTTTCTGGCCTCCATAAGAGAATTTTTCAGGCCGACTAGCACTGAAACCTTTGTGCAGATATCACTAGTTCTGGAGTGCACTTTAGAAGACAAGGCTACCACCACCTACATTATGCCAGATACAGAGGCCTTTCAGGCATAGACAAATATCTTCCTTCAAATTATATTTCACCCAGTATCATGCATATCTTAACTAGTTTCAGTTTTCTCCTTCCAAGCTACAGTATCATCAAAAATTGAGCTCTATGCCTTTGAATTTCCTTTAACTCTTCTATTGTCATGTTAAGCCTAAGTAAGTGTCACCTGTAAGCTTTGCTCCCCCATTATAAAGAACACAATACACACATAGCATTTTCTCCACTTTAGCTAGACTTCTGTAACTGACAATATTTTGCCTTTTCTCTAGAATTACATAGCTTTAAAAAGTGAGATTATAGCCCCATCTTCCTACACCCTTTCTCCTCCTAAGCTACATGGAAGGCAGTATTGTCTTGGAGCAACTTCTATATTGAAGACACCCAAACGACTACTTCAAAAGACCAATTTCCCCTTCAATTTATGGCTGCACAGTTTAGTAATAAGCTAATTCTTGAGTTTACAAAAGAGCAAAATTATGGCTGCTATGAGAGCATTCCTAGAAGTATTATAGGCTCACAAGGTCACTCACGCAAATAAATTCACTTGCTGTGAAATAAATTATAATACAACCACATATAGAGACTAGGAATTTATTATAATTTAAAGAAGTCCAGGCATTTATATGAATAATGGTGGTATCAGTTATAGGTGTTTAACAAGCAAGAGAGACAGATCCTTTTTTGTCCAGAGCTAGCTCTGGCACTGACAGATGGCATTAACTACCTGTCCACAGCCAAGCCAGCCATCCACTGCACAGCTCAGCACTTTTTCATCTTCATCTGATCAGTTACTGGCCAGTTCTGCAGACAGGAATTTACCCACACATAGAAGACAGCAGATTTTTTTAACACTTGCAGAATTTCTCCTGTGAAAGGGAACTGTACCATTTTCTTGCCACTTTCAATTGTTTAAACTTGCTTTGGAATGCTTCTTTATCACTTCATAAAATATTTGTATCAAAATATCACCAAGAAGGATAGTTAGGGCCTGTCATTTACTGCATTAAGCATTGTGTGCCAAATGAAGAGGTCTCTTGCTTTACCTATCCATATGCTGAATTGGATTGTACTATACAAAGAATCATCACTAGAGAAGTAACTAATAGCTTATTCAGTGGACTATCACAGCTCTTCACTGCTAGAGAATCCAAATGAGTGTGTTGGGAGATGAAGGAGTTGAAGAAAACAATTTGGAGTTTTTTATATATATGAGGTGGGTGTTGGTCTCTTCTCCCAGGTTACTAGCAATAGGACAAGAGGAAACGGACTCAAGTTGTGCCAGAGGAGGTTTAGATTGGATATTGGGAAGAGTTTCTTTACCGAAGGAATGTTGAGGCGTTGGAACAGGCTGCCCAGGGAGGTGGTGGAGTCACTATCCCTGGAGGTGTTCAAGAAATGTGTAGATGTGGCACTTGGGGACTTGGTTTAATGGTCAGGGTACTGTTGAATGGTGGCTGGACTTAATGATCTTTGAGTTCCTTTCCAACCTTAATGATTCTATACACTCCCACAAATTAATCACATTTAATCTCTAAAATTTACATAAGACATTAAGTTTTATTTCATATTGTGTCAATTTGGGAAGTTAGTTTCAAAGAAAGTGGAAGTCCAAAACAGAAATTTCAGATCTACTTTAGCTTTCAGAAGAGATCTCTGAAAGTATCACTAAATGCTTTCACAGTAAAATTCCTAACATCATCCACCAAAGCTGGAGATCTGCAGGCAACCAGCAACTTAACAACATGCCAAATAAAAAGCCCTTATTGTTAAAAGCTACCGGTTCTTAAAGCTCCTCTGATTGACCCATATTCCTATATAATTCCAAGATTCTATATTTGTATCCTATCTTTTCTCATCACTTCAAAATAAATTTCAAAACATGACTAAGTAAAAGCTGTGAGCTAACAGTGGTTTGCTGAGGAAATATATGTTGAATACATACACCTAAATGGGCTCACATGTTTCTGTCCCCCAGACATCCACACAGATGTAACCATAACAGCATGTAACCATAAATGCTCAGTTATCCCAAGATTCCACCCAGAATAACCTCTAAGCAACAGAAGGTGTATTATACCACAGAAAGTGCAAAGCACTCACAGCAACAGCACAGTGCTGCCGACTTCAGCAAAGCAGAAATTACTTTGCACCACATATACATACAATGGGAACAAACAATAGGAAGACTTTTCCCTGAATGAGAGTCGAAAGGGATATTCAGAAACTTCTGGCTAAGTGCACAAATTAATATTAATCTTAGTCATGATCCTCAATTCAAAAGCAAGCCTCCACGATGCAGAGCTCGCTGTTCAATACCCAACTTTCACACCACTCATGTCTACACCTATTTACTACCATCAGCTGATGTAGTACTTCCCAAGCCCTTCCAAAGCTCTTGCATCCCACCACAGAATAACCAGTGTCCAGTGGCTGTTCCCCACGCTTCCCACGTTCCTGACACCACAGAGCACTACATCATCTCTCCCAGCTTTCTGAAGCACAGCAGTTCCACTACCTCACACCAAGCTGCCACAGCCTCACTGCTCTCCTGCCCCATGCCCAACACCACCTCCCTCCCGCAGAATTAAGGATTAATTAATGATTAAATTAAGGACCAAAAGCCTTGGCGCTCCCTCTGTGGGCTGCAGGATGAAACTCAAAGGGGCTTTGTAAGTGGACACATTTTCCTTCATCTTTAACAATAATAATTGCTCAGACTTTTTTATGCTTCAGATAAAGACCTAGTGTTTGGAAAAAGAAGAAAAAAAAGAAACCTCAAAAGACTGTGACACTTTCTCAAAGAAAGCCCAAGCTTCTTTTCTTAAAAAGAAAAAAAAAAAAAAAGAGGAAGGAGAGCAAAAAAGGTATTTTCTTTAAAAGAAAGAAGTCCTAAAAACTATGCAGGATAAACATCTCAGATTTCACCATTAAATTGTACTAATTATTTGAATAGGATCTAGCATTCCAATTAATCCGACAAGATTTGTAATTTGTGTAGTTAAAAGACAGCGTTAATTTATATATATCCTGAAGATGTAAAGTGAAACCCAAACGAAAAGAGAAAGAAAATTCAGAAAAAAATAGAAAATTAGAAAAAATATTCCAGCTTAGAATGCTACAGTTGATGCTTAAGTCAAACTGATATACTAAATAAATATATAAACTTTCCCTTTGCAACACAGCATCTGCTAATTAGAAGACTAAGTCATTGTCTAATAATTTTTTGATTACACAGTATAAAAAGAGCAGTAGTAAAAAATACGCACAATAAACCTCAGGATGATTCTGAATGTTTGATAGTTCAGCCCTCCCACCACCTATTTTTGGAAGCTGAAATTTGAATACCATCAAATGAAAGGAGAAACAGCTAGCAAGATACCACAGACAACACCAATGACTGATCTCCAAGACTAATGGGATGCTCCTCACTGCATCCTGCAGCAGCATGGAAGTATCCAAGCTAGCTCAAGTACAGAAAACAACCTAGCAATGTAACATGAGCTTCATGAGAACTAATTTGTCATTCTTCCTAGAAGCCAACAAAATACAGGGTAAATTAGTCACTACTGCAGCAGAACGCTTCCAGTACCTAAATTAGGTTAGGCATCTATGTATCCTATCACATGCAGCTTTCATGAAGTTCCTAGGACAAACAATTTTCTTTTAGGACTTAAACTGCAATTCAAACTATGCCTTATTGTAGTGCAATGTCTTCCAAAAGCTAAACATATTGTCTGCTGCCTCTGACGGCTTTTTATACAAACACAAAACAGTAAGAAATTAATTGCTTCACAAAAAAATTATTGCTCAGAAGAACAAAACTTACTATAGAATTTTCATGTTACCAAATACATTTATCTAGAGAAGTCATAAGAAAAATTCTGAAAGTACTAATGAGTTCTGTCCATACCATTTCTCAATTCAAATCAGGAAGCAGACAGTAAGAACCATAGTTGAAGTCAAGCACTAGTGTGAGTCATATGAGTGCAAGCTAAAAATGGCTCTAAAAGTAACCAAGAAGGACTCACCAAGTTCATTGAGACTCTGAGCAGCTTTTGTTATCTCTCTGCTTCCTCCTTGCAGTTGTCCTTGAAGTCTCTTACTGAGATACAAGATGCGTATTATCCTCCGCAGCAGGTCACAGGCAGCCTGCAGAGACATCGTAGCCTTAGGGGATATTATCAGCACATTATGATCACACAGACCACATAATACTAGGCCTCAAACATGGAAATATCTTGAACAAAAAAGGAAATATGAATGTGAATAAAGCAAGGAACTTCAGAATACTGAAAACGCTTTTTTTAGGATTTTTATGCAGTATAGACCAACACTTTCTAAAGCTGGTAATTAAATTCACAGGGCTACTGAGATTACCTGTCATTACTAGTAAAAAAAGGAAATTCAGCATCCAGTGACAGAGACATGTTCTATTTCTAACTACAAGTGAGCTTTATTTTACGTCATACATGTCTCCTCAACATTCCTCCTCTCTGCAAGCTTTAATAAAGTTAAGAACTCAGCCTTGCCAACTTCTTGACAACCAAATATTGATCCAAAATAAGCAAAATGGCAGCATTTACTTCAGAGGACAATAAAATTGAAAGGCTAAATCGTTACTACAGATACTGACTCTTACAGGAGGAATAGATGTAAAAACTCATTTTTAGAAAACTTCCATAAGGCCAGACACCTTCGTTCATCCAACTGTTGGTTCACATTCATGCACAGGTTTATTAAAATACGTGGCATTCTTGGCTAAAACTTAAGAAGGATGCATATGTAAATTTTCAGAAAACATATTTGTGTATGTTTTCACTGGCATCAATTTAGAAAAAAAAGGCATTTCTGACATCTGAATCAAACAGAACAGTTCCATAATCTTTCACTCAACTAAGATCTTCAAACAGGTTTTCTCCCTCTCCACAGTAAATACATAGACAGAGAAACAGCAGAAGTTACACCAACTGCAGAGTTGCCCTAGGGCTGGATTGGGTCAGTGGGGCTAGGAGGTACATGCTATGGGAGCAGCAACACCCCAGAGTGGGTAATATCTAAACTACAATTCAGAAATTATATTCAGGAGAAGGTAAAAAAGTATGTGGATTTCAGTACAGTCATAGGCACAATCCAACATCTGCAATCAGATTAACAAGAGGTAAATAAGAAATTTGGAACGCGTAAAACATAGTTGTTATGAGGCATTTTCCCTGGTATTGGAGCAAAAGCTCCTGAAGCATTTACACTATGAATATCAATATTAAATTAAAATTACTTTTAAAAATATTTATTATCTGACAGACTTTGAACCCCTTTTTTAGATTCAAGTTAATATTCTGAAAACTAGTGTTAAAGTGCACATACAAAAATATACACAAGTGAGTCATTTCAACCCATATTCAGTGGCTTGCACAACTTCTCAGTCTCTTCCCTATGCCAGCACAAATCAATCAAAACACAAATATTTATAGTTTAATTTTATTAAACATTCAGACAGACAAAAAAGGGGAAAAAAAAAAAAATCAGAAAAAGCCCCACTGAAGCAAATCACTGAAAAAAACAATCACTCTCCCTGCTTTTGGCTCTGTATCTCATAGCCTGAAGTGCAAGTGTCCTAAGCATTCTAAGGCAACTTAACCACATGATTTCTATTACCATTAGTGAGAACCAAGTGGGGCTTATCCTACTTTGTGAGATTAACGTATTAGTTTTTATTAATTCATTTCTTTAATTAGAAAAATTTTGAGCCATATATCACTCTCATATCTGTGAACTAAATTTCTGCAAGATGAATCAGAAATAGCTTTTTATAAAGTACACTGTGCTTTACCAAGTAAAAGGGCATAGTATTACTACTTAGTTTTCAAATTTAATTACTCTCTAATCCAACTGTGAACCCCTGGCTACTGTTTTTTTTCGAAGGAATTCAACTTCAGTCATCTCCTGACCAGGTTTTACTTTACATTCCAAAAGATTATTTCTTTTTCACTGAATTGTTGCTCATTATCTCTTATCCCAAGAAACAACCTTTAAAAAAAGGCTATCAAACTGACTAAGAGATCATACAAGAGCAAAAAAAAAAAAAAAAAAGTTTTACCTTCTGGCCCTGTGAATTAAAGGGAAGAGAAAAATCCAAAGACACTGAAGATTCACTCTTAACTTCACGGTGATTGCTACTGCATTACACCCTTGATAAATATTTCTGTTTCACCCAAGTATTTCTGTTTTCTTGAGCTGTTGAACTTAATAAAACTCCTAGTCACTCCTAAAGAATGCAATATATGAGGATCATGTAATGGAAATAGAAAATTCTATCTAACAATGGACTTGTTCACAGATGCTAGGTGCTCTAACCTGATCAACTGCATAACAGAAGTCTGAATTAATTCAGGAAAGATTCCCTTCCTGAGTTGACAGAGTATACTTTTCTACAGGAGATGCTTTCATACAAGAAGGAATGAATTCCACTCTTCAAGCAAGAATTAATTTGGAAAAGGTCAGTGGCCTGAGTTGGTCCCAGTGGTTTTAATAAAACTGAAAATAAACCCAGATTTTTCTGGAGATTACATGTTAGCTATCTCCTGAAATTTAAAGCAACATATCAACACTAACAGACATTATTGCTACAATCTGAGCAATCAAAAAGCCTCCTCCTTTTAATCTCAAGTTAATTTTAAGGAAGTATTGAAAGAAGACTTAATTATAAAGAGGATCTCTTGAAAATGAGCGTATCTCATAAACAATTGCATATATCTGCCAGATCATGATGTAATTAAATGTATATATAACAGAAGCCTGAAGAAAGTTGACACAGTTCAGTATCTCCAGATCATATTTACTATTTAGTTACAGTAGCACCACAATGAAATCTGCTACTGGAGAATATTTTAAAGAGATAATAACTTTAAAATACAGACTTATTATTTTTTAAGATTTCCAAAAATTGGCTATTATAAGGATTTCTAAACACTGAGATATCTGAATTGAGAGAACATGTAGAAAGACTTGGTTAAACAGTTCTGCACAGAAAATAATCCTCTGAAGGACAAATTCTCTGCCTGCATATTTCAGCTGTTAACTATTCCCATTTAGCTTGTGATCTGCTATGGAAAGACTCAGATGAGGACAGTATGAAGTAGGAAGCAAGCTTTGTGAATATGCTGCTCCTTTGGGATGCCATGAAGCTCCAACAGCAGAGCAAGATATAATATATCCAAGCACACAGTAGAGACTTAGGACTAGATTTGAAGTTTGACAACAAATTTGCAGTGACTATGTTTATGAACAAGCCAGACTATATTAAAAACAATTAAGAATGGCAAAATCCAGCTTTATGCAAGCTAAATATTCCTTCAGTTTGTGCAGTCCCACAGCAATCAATGGACAGGAACCAGAATAATACCATCGTGAGTACAAGAGGCCCTTAAACACCACACAGTTCAGCAAAACATACCTGTCAACCCTACAGCTTTTGACAGAAGGCCACCTCTTTTATCAGTCAGCTACCTTTTTCTACTTATTCTACCAAACAAACATCAACTGATAACATTAGCAAGTTTGAAAGCACCCCACACCACAAGTCTTGCATTTGAGAGCAATTTCATGTCCTAAGCCCTGCCACTACCAGGAAGTGAATTGTTTGCTGTGCTGACGCCCGCCCTTCCTGAACAAACCAAGCAGCCAGGGAGAGACACCACAGCAGTGCACCTTGGGGAGGCAGGAAGGTTGAGATTCCAAGGGTCTATTGACTCAACTCTCCCAAAATCCAGCAAGTCAGACGTCCTGACCTTCAACTCCTCCCAGCAGTGCAGCACAACATAAAACACTTGCTGTGTATCTGCCAACACAAGAAGGGACAGCAGCTCTCAAGCTGAGGATGGTCTTTCACTGGCAGAGAAACTGGAATCATCATTTCTTTTTCTACAGAGGTAAGTGGACTTAGATGCTAGGAAAGGTAGCCTAGCAGGCTTACCCTTACCCTGCACCTCTTTTTTTTCAGACTTCCAGCCACAAAAAGCCAGATATGACAAATTCCCTGGCACAGCCTGAGTAATGCTGACCCTGGATGGATGATGTTGCTTTCACACCACAGGAAAATCCATGTAACACTGCTACAGCAAAGAGAAAGCAAAAAGCACCCAAGAAACATTTTCTGAAGTTCAGGGATTCATTCTTCTCATAGGTCCATCTGCAGTTTGACTTTGTGTAAGGTCAGGGCAGAAATGACCTTCATTTTTAGCCCCAAATTCCTGCAACCCTTTCCACAGCTGCAACATGTATCAGAAAGAAGAAAAAAAAATAAACGTCTGCACCTAACCTGCAACATGAAAGTCCCAGAAGTTCTGCCTAGTGGCAAAAATTGTAACAGCTTGCATTGAAAAGAACAGCAGCGGGACAAAGAGGCTGAGGAGAGTGTTAAGAGCT